CCCCTACAACTCCTTGCCCCTTGCGGTGGCCTCGGCACTGCAGGGGCTGGGAAGGGTCTGGTGCCGCAGACGAGAAGGCAGTGCCTACAAAGCCTCTTCCCTGCTCACTTTAGACACCGGCGTGGGCTCGGAGGCAGGTGCTTTCAAGAATTCTTTATTGGTGTATAAAAGAGCCACCAATTTCTGGGTGTTGATTTTGCTACATTGCCAAATTCATTTATTATATCCAGTAGCTTTTTGGTGGAGTCTTTAGGATTTTCAATGTACAATATCTTGTCATTTGCAAATAATGAGAATTTTACTTGCTCCTTTCCAGTTTGAATGCCTTTGATTTCTTTTTGTGTGAGTGCCGTGGCTAGGATTTCCAGTACTATCCTCCTATCTAATAAAGAGGTAATATGCAAATTGACCATCCCTCCAACACACAGATGGCCGCCCCCATGTGGTCAAAGACGGCTGCCCCTGTGTGGACACAAGATGGTGCCACAAGTGAGGAGCTGAAGAGCTAGGGCTGCACAGAGGAGCCTGCGTCTGCCTTGGGCAGCATGGTGCTTTTATAACATGGTAATTGAGTTGAACACAAAGTATAGTAACTGATCTCCCTTCTTCCTGGATGAGCGCGCAATAGTGGTGAAATAGTGGTGTCAGCACCCTGAACATGCCCAGGTGGGCAGTGCCCGGCTACTGCTTTTTGAAATGATGCTGTGCCTTGGTGTGGCCCAAGCTGTGAAGTGTTGCTGGGCTTCTCTCCTGTGGAGCGCTGATCACTCACACAGCGGGTTTGGTGAATATTGGTTGGGGTGAGTCTTGCCTGCCTCCACTGGGTCATCTTTATATGAATCCAATGAGGTGTGTGGAGGGGGATTATTGTTTTTTTGTTTGTTCGTTTTGGTCTTTCTGAAACAGTTTTTAGGTGATATTCATGAAGAGCACTCCGTACCTAGAACTGTCCACTAATGAGAGGAAAACCTGTCCGAGAAGGTGCGTCTTCCCACAGCTGCCGTCCCACCCTTGGGGCCTCTGCTGGGAAAACAGAATCAAGTCTCAAACAATGCCTTTTTAATTGTATCTCTAGTATTATAGACGTAGGGCAGTACTGTATCATACCTCTGTGAATGTAAAATACCTCGTACCTGCTTTATGATACATAGTAATGACCGTGCTTTATCAGAGCTGTTTTTAATGATGTTATCCTAGATGTTATCATTCTTTCCAGATGATGATGGAGAAGCTAAAAAAAATGGTGACAAGTCAACTTTGGAAAAACGATCCCAGTTGTACTGTGTTGGGTTGGCATTGTACAGAAAGTAACAGCCATATTGATCTAGAAACGTTCAACATAATTTTTTTCCCATTTGTACAAGGGTACCGCACTGTATTAAATATGTAAGGTCTTAATCTACATGGGTTTAATTACAGAAACTAATAAAGTATTCTCTAAAGAAAAAAGATGGTACCACAAGATGGCCAGCAGGGGAGGGCAGTCAGGGGGGAACCAGGCCTGCAGGGGAGGGCAGCTAGGGACAATTGGGCTGGCAGGGGAGCAGTTAGGCATCGATCAGGCTGGCAGCGGAGTGGTTGGGGGTGACCAGGCTGGCAGGCAGAAGCAGTTAGGGGCAATCAGGCAGGCAGGCAGGTGAACGGTTGGGAGCCAGCAGTCCTGGATTGTGAGAGGGGTCCCAGATTGGAAAGGGTGCAGGCTGGGCTGAGGGACACCCCCCACCCCCGTGCCTGAATTTCATGCACCGGGCCTCTAGTCCTATATAATAAAAGGGCAATATGCAAATTGACCCTAATGGCAGAATGACCTGGAATGACTGGTTACTATGATGCTCACTGACCACCAGGAAGCGGATGCTCAATGCAGGGGCTGCCCTCTGGAGGTCAGTGCACTCCCACAGGGAGTCCCAGAGATTCAAGAAGAAGGCCCACTGCCTGGCAGCAGCAGTAGCCTTGCTTCACAGCTGGGCCTCATCTGGGCACTTCCAAACCTCAAACAAAGTGGAAGATCTGCAGATGTCTCTGTAGCTCCTGCTGGACAGCCCCAGACAGTGGCTGATCTTGCACCTCTTTGGAGATCCAAGAGCCAGTGTACCCAGTGGTCAGAGTGAGACCATACCACAACCCTTCACATCCATAAGAGACACCCTCAAGGGGCGGACTCAGTGAGCACCAAAGCCCTACTGAAGCAAGTCCTGCCCCATAAGGGTGTCTCCTGCGCAACAGATCTTCCAGTATAGACACAGCTGATCATCACAGCCAATTGGCCTGGAGGTCAATTCCTCCCAGTGATACCAATAGCAATAAAGGGTTAACTACAAGACTGTGCAAACAGCCCACAAAGGGGTACACCAAGAGCGTCCACCTCAGGTGACTGGGGAGGCTGAGCTACTGGGCCCTATAGGACACCTACCACACAAGGCCCCTCTATCAACTTAAG